GGTTCTTCAAAGATTCACGATGTACTATTATTACAGAAGAAGGTTATTAGAACTGATATAGCACACTGTCGAAAACTTTTTATTGACCTACAAATATTAACAATGGTAAATTTATATATTTTTTACCTCTTTTTATACTGTACACATTTAAGAGCAGATCAAAATATAGTCAATAAGGTTCCTTTGGCTGTGACTAGATGAGATTTTAGTAATTTTAAAAATAAATTGCACAGTTTTTGATTACAAGGCCATTTTAGTAGGTCTAGTCAGTGCATGGTCTATCTCCTTGTATTTTATCAGTTATTTATTTATTCGTGCCTATTTATGTTAGCCCCTTGGTTATTTAATATTAGTTTGTTATATATCCATTTAAATTAATATTGCTTAACTATGCTTAAGAAAGACTGAAATCTTCAAGGATAAATACTTATGTATGCTCTAAATTGGAACTGTCAATACATGAACAGATGTTAAAAGACCAATAAAATCCTTTTCTTATGACTTGTACGATGATTTGTAAATTCTTTCGAGCTATGGTAAATTTACCAACGTTGTTGAACATGTAGGAATATAAAAATGCCTATAATTCTGCTAAGGGTATAGTCGTCATACAGCTTCCATAAACGGCCATCACTTGCCATAAAGACCACATCTGATTGGCTGGACTAGACAGCTTTGGGAATAGACTAGAAAGAATCTAAACTCCCCTTATGCTATTCACTTGTTGTATTAATATCTTTAATGTTTCTGAGACCGATGCTTAACAATGTAAATTAAGTATGAATACGATGGGATGGATCGAGCAGATCATTCAAAGCTAATGTTTTCACACATATGTACACATCTGTACACATCAAGTGTACGTTAACCTGTACATTATTAAAATAGTTGGTTGAGACGATCTTTGCCAAATCCATTTTAATTAACATTGTAAATATGCTATGAACACGATGGGATGGATCGAGCAAATCATTCAAAGCTAATGTTTACACACATATGTACACATCAAGTGTACGTTAACCTGTACATTATTAAAATAGTTGGTTGAGACGATCTTTGCCAAATCCATTTTAATTAACAATGTAAATATAGTATGATAATGATGAGATGGATCGAGCAGATCATTGAAAGCTAATGTTTACACACATATGTACACATCAAGTGTACGTTAACCTGTACATTATTAAAATAGTTGGTTGAGACGATCTTTTCCAAATCCGTTTTAATTAACAATGTAAATATAGTATGATCATGATGAGATGGATCGAGCAGATCATTCAAAGCTAATGTTTTCACACATATGTACACATCAAGTGTACGTTAACCTGTACATTATTGAAATAGTTGGTTGAGACGATCTTTGCCAAATCCATTTTAATTATCTTTTTTAGTTTTTAACATCATATCGTATCTATTAAATTTCATCTATAGGCTATAATAGTTGCAAAGAACATAGTTAGTTTCGGAAAGTAAATAAATTCATCTCAAAGCTAATGTCTACACACATATGTACACATCAAGTGTACGTTTGTACGTTAACCTGTATATTGTTGAAATAGTTGGTTGAGACGATCTTTGCCAAATCCATTTTAATTATCTTATTTACTTTTTAACATTATATCGTATTTATCTATCGTATTGTATTTATGTATCATATATCATATTGTATTCATCGTATTTATTGAATCTACAGGCTATAATAGTTGCAAAGAACATAGTTAGTCTCGGAAAGTAAATAAATTCAGCTGTGCCATTGATAAGACTTTTCCTTTCTTAGCGGAAGCCACTGAATTCTGTGGACTCAAAATTACGGTATTGGTATTTAGTCGAGTATAGTGATCAACATTTTGGAAAAACACAATCAAAGATGATATTCCAAGAACTATTCAGTACTACCCAAAACGAAAGTATCCATGCTCTAGCAGTTGGACGACTAAGAGGTGATTGGTTGATGCGCTGAAACCAACACTAGTTCAAGATGATATTCCAAGAATTATTCAGTTCTACCGAAAACGAAAGTATCCATGCTCTAGCAGTTGGACGACTAAGAGGTGATTGGTTGATGCGTTGAAACCAACACTAGTTCAAGATGATATTCCAAGAATTATTCAGTTCTACCGAAAACGAAAGTATCCATGCTCTAGCAGTTGGACGACTAAGAGGTGATTGGTTGATGCGTTGAAACCAACACTAGTTCATGATGATATTCCAAGAAATATTTAGCTCTACCGAAAACGAAAGTATCCATGCTCTAGCAGTTGGACGACTAAGAGGTGATTGGTTGATGCGTTGAAACCAACACTAGTTCAAGATGATATTCCAAGAATTATTCAGTTCTACCGAAAACGAAAGTATCCATGCTCTAGCAGTTGGACGACTAAGAGGTGATTGGTTGATGCGCTGAAACCAACACTAGTTCAAGATGATATTCCAAGAATTATTCAGTTCTACCGAAAACGAAAGTATCCATGCTCTAGCAGTTGGACGACTAAGAGGTGATTGGTTGATGCGTTGAAACCAACACTAGTTCATGATGATATTCCAAGAAATATTTAGCTCTACCGAAAAAGAAAGTATCCATGCTGTAGCAGTTGGACGAATAAGAGGTGCTCGGTTGATGAGTTGAAACCGGTCGCCTTTCATCAGTGACTTAATCACACTGACGGAATATAAGGTATTTTAACCTCTAGTAATAATTTATGTTGTGATCAGGAGGCAAAAATGTAAAAAAAATTACCAAGAGGTTAGCTCTAATCACATATGCAAGATCTAGTTCTATGTAACTGATAGATTCTAATTTCTAAACAATATTACAAGGTATGTCACTCTGTGAGTTCTGATAGTAGGTCTAGTCAGTGCATGGTCTATCGCCTTGTATTTTATCACCTATTTATTTATGCCTATTTATTTGTAGTCGAATAGAATGTTAGCCCCTTGGTTGTTTAATCATTATCATTATATGTTATATGTTTATCAAAATAAAACTCATAAAAATAAAATATATAATTACGCTGTTAGTCAATATCAATTGAGATAAAACAAGATGTACTATCTGTATTGCATCTCGTATCTGTACTAAGGTGTATAAAAAAGAATTGAAAGATTAATACGAGATCCAAACCATAAAGTTTATTTTTGATAGGAATAATGTATTTTTCCAAAATCTATAAACGCATTTATAGTTTATGATCCATTTCCAAAAGTAATTGATCAAAGTAATCACACCAAACAATATTTTATTTGATCAGTCAACGGAATAGATACGAGTAGTTTGAAAATCATCCAATACTTGTAAAGCATGAAAATATCTTTAGATAATTTAACATAAATAGCTCTGAACAGTACTTTAAAGCACGCCATTAGCTGTCTGAAAATGGGAGTCTTTGGAATAATCTTTAATTAGAATTAATAACAAAATTAAAAATAATCATATTTGTTGTTCATTGAACATGACTAACAGTTTAGTTAAGTTAATGTAATTATTTCACTTTGTTATCAAGTGCCCGAATATACTAGAACATCTTGCCCGTTTATAGTACTTAAATCTGTCATTTAACCTTTAAATAAACCTTCGGTGTTAAATTAAATTGTTAATATGTTAAAAATGCAATTTTCTCCAGTAAACAATTAACTTTGATTATTATATACAATCTAAACACTATTCAAAAGCAAATGATAAACTACTTAAATTAAAGCCCAGGGTCTCTAATTCAAAGCCATATTTTATGTGTATTTACTATCTGTTTTGCGTTGTATAACTAAATCCAAAATCCTGGGTATCCTACAGTGAAAAACCATTGGTATAACTATCACGGTAGATAACTTTTAATTTCTTCATGAAGCACTGAAAGTTGCAAGTCAAGCTATTCATCGGAAGCAGAAACAGATAGGGTTGATAATTGTGAAATTATTGTCCGTTGATATTTATAGAATCCTTTGACCGATTTAAGAGCGAGATACAATCTTTTGAAGTACTTTACTGTATATTAACTGTAACTGAACAAAAATTACTATCTGTAAAATTTATCCTGTATTTTAAAGTACCTTTAATTGAATTGACTTTCTCATCATGGTACTAATCTTATCAACATTTAGCTACATGGTAAGACCTGGACCCGGGACCGATTTACTTTTTCGTTTTGAGGTCCCTAGAGGCCAAAAACACAGTTCGTTCAAAATTATATACATGTATTTCAAATATATAAGTCCGGAAAAGCGATAACTTGAGTAATTTTTGTCAGATTTTGATGAAATTTGGTTTAAAGGTTTAAAGCGGAATAAACTTAAATGAGTTCGCGAACCAGCATGATCGGACCATAGGAACGGGGTTTTACAGGGTTTTATGGGGTAAAAAAAATTGGTTTTCTCATTTTTGACCCTCAAAACACAAAATTTCTCAAGTGTATACAACTTGATACAATTTTATATTATTGAGTTAAAATATTCCACACTATAAAATGTATATGGGATTTCAATATTGTACAAACATCTGGAATGAAAGTGAGAAGTGTCACCGACTTCTTTGAGAATTTGGTTTGACAACTAAAGTTATATCTGATAACAAATAACTTACTTTAACCGAAGAAAAATATTTTCATTTTGGATTGTTTGAATCGTCTTGGTTCTCAATAAAGACAGGATCAGCTGATGTTGTTTTAAGATTATCCTCTATGCTAGCCTTCTAAGGCCCGGTTTCTCCAACGCAGTTTAAACCAATGCTGACGTTTAAGCTGTGGTTTAAACTTGAAAAGTGTTTCTCCAATGTCTTTGACAAGCTTAAACCGAAGATTAGTTTAACTTCATTCAGGACCATGGTTAAACCAGTGAGTCAAGTTTAAACTACAGCTGTTAGCTATGATATGTTGTCAAATATTGTTTACATTAATAAAATAAACAAATAAAGTTTTCATTTGTCAAGTCTACACCAGATTGTGTGCATTTTTCTCACTTTAGTTATTTACGTTTCTGTTTGTGCCCCAAAATCTATGTCCTAACATATAATGGAGGAAGTCATAGATATTCTGGATGGGATAGAAGACGAAGATTTCGAAGAAGTAGTTCAAATTAGAAGAGGACCAGTAAAAATTCGAACAAGAATTGACCATTTTACAAAGTGGGATGAAGCAGAGTTTTTTGCCAGATATAGGATGAGGAAGAGAACGGCTAATATAGTGTTGGAATTGATCAAAGAGGAAATAAAGTGTGCAACAATTAAAAACAGGGCAATATCTCCTGAAATGAAGTTCCTAGTCACACTCAAGTTCTATGCTTCAAGTGGTTTTTTAATCAATGTAGGGGATCAAAATGGCATTCATAAATCAACAGTGAGCAAAATTGTCAAACAGGTATCAGAGGCTATTGCACGGTTACGTCCACAATTCATTTGTATGCCATCAACACAAGAAGAACAGTCAAAGACGAAACTTGGCTTCTTTGAAATAGCTCGGTTCCCAAACTGTGTAGGCGCTATCGACTGCACTCATGTAAAGATTTTGTCTCCAGGTGGTGACAACGCAGAGTATTTCAGGAATAGAAAAGGCGTTTTTTCAATAAACGTACAAGGGGTTTGTGATAGTTCCCTGCGCCTTACAAATATAGTAGCCAGATGGCCTGGCTCAACCCATGATGCCCACATCTTTACTTCCTGTAGGCTTAAACAAGAATTTGAAAAAAATGGACTGTTTGGAAACGGTGTGTTGGTTGGAGATAGTGGTTATGCCTGCAGTAATTACTTAATACCCCCTTTAGAAAATCCAGTTCTTCGAGAAGAGCAACTGTTTCAGGAATCACAGATCCGTACAAGAAATCCTATTGAACGTTGTTTTGGTGTATGGAAAAGAAGGTTTCCAGTGTTAGCCCTAGGAATAAGACTGAAGCTAGATAGACTGGAAAGTGTTTGTGTTGCTACAGCAATATTACACAACATATGCATTATGGAAGGTGATGATACTCCGCCTGTTTCTCCTGATGAATTAGCTGCAATTGAAGCTCTTCATGATCTGCTAGGAAATGACGGCCAAGTTCCAGAAAGGCAGAGGCGAAGAGGAGGAAATGGACACTTACAGACCCGCAACAAACTAATTTACGAATATTTCAGAAATATGTAACTCAGCTAGGCCTAAGAAGTATGGCCTTTATTTAAATCTGTTTATTGTAAAAGTAGGTCCTTATTTGATTTTGTTTGTTTGAGGACAGTCTGATTTTTAAAAATATTTATTTTTTATTTTTAAGATTTTGTGTATTTTGCATCTTTGGAATTTTGTGTAAATATATATCATAACTCACTTTTTAAATGTTAACATAGTATAAACAAACTGTAAAAAATGTGTACAATGCTTTTTTACAAGGGCTTGGATGGCAACTCCTTTGGCCACCGGGAACTTAAACTGAAAATAGAAAGGATGCCGGGGCTCAACACGCCAACCAGCTGCACTGGGCTCAACACGCCTCTAGTGCGGGGATGGGGAAGCACCAGGCTCAACACACCATTTTACATTGCCAAACCTTGGCCTTCTTAAAACACTTCATTACAAGTACAAATAAGTAAATAACACAACATATAATTCAACTGAGAGAAATATTTTTTATACAATCAAAAGAAATTTATTAACAAACGTAAGTTAACATGTTTTTTAATGAACACTGTGACATGGTGATAACTACTTATGCATAATCTCCACTTAAGTTTAACTGGTTTTTTAATTTTACCTCTTCATTTTTTATTTTTAACTGAACTAATCTTCTTTCTTCCTGGAGTAGTTCCATTTTCATGCTATGCTCTTCCTTCTGCATTTTTATTTGTTCTTCAACCATTCTCTTCTGAAGGCCAAGAAGTTCTTCCTTTGCCTTCGCTACTAATTCAATCTTCTGGCCAGCCCTTGAACTGTCTATTATTGTTTTTTTTTATTTTTAGTAAATAATGGTGCAGATTTTTGTGTCCTAAGACTGGCAATTGAAAAATCTTTACCAAACCCACAATGCTTTGCTGGTGTTGTGACGGATACCTTTGAATCAGGGATATTCCTTGGTGGTATGAAAGGTTTTTTTTCATTAGGAATTAAGCTTGAATGTTGTTCATTTATGATAATTGAAGAGCTAGGCTTGGAAGATTCAGATTGATATATACCCATGAATTCACAGTTTGGACTTACACTTGGCCTACTACTACCTGTCTCTGTAATTTCGATTTCTACAGGTATGCTCAGGTTATTCGCAATCTCTTCCTCACCCACAACTTCGATTTCGTCCATCTCAAAACACTGGATCCCGTCCTCAGCATCATTGTCAAACCTTGTTTGAATTCCAAATAATGGGAGCTCCCCTAAAATTTCTTTTACCTTGCAATCTGTTTTTGTAATAATACTCGGTGGTTTGTAGGAGCCTCCACCAGTGCCTAAAACAAACTTTTTGTCCTCAGCCAACTTTTTTTTGGAAGTTTTCTTTATATTGTCGTATTTTACTTTTAGAGATTTCCAGTCTCTGTAAATCTGCCCGCTTTCAAGGTTGAAATCTTTTTCTATTGTTCGCCAAGTTTCATCTTTTTCTTTGAGCGTTATATGGTCGCTTCTTTTACATTCTAAAATGTCCTTGTATTTTCTCACCAAATCTAATAACAAACTAACCTCACTTTCCTTGAAATTTTTAGTTCTTTTTAGTCCATCCTGTGATTGGGTTTGGTCCATTTTATCAGAGAAACACTACTTATGGAATGTTTAAACTATACACTAGACACAGAAAATAGCCAAATAGTTAAAAAATTCTTACAATTTAATAACATCAACTTGAGTCAATATAAGGTTAAACACAGTTAGCACTGTAAACAAAAACAGATATTTACACTCTGAGCTATGAAATAAACAAACAGGGCTGCCAACTTACTCGCACCCCAGCTTAAACTAAACCTCCTGGGTAGTACAGTTGGAGAAACGACAAAAAAGTTAAACTTAGGTTTAATCTTTTATTTGGTTTAGTTTAAACGTATTTGGAGAAACCGCCCCTAAAGGTCTTCTATGATTTCAAATCAATACTGTTTCACACTGGCATTAAAAACAACAGAGCTTAAGTTTAGACTTTACGATATAGCTTTTTATGTAAAATATAAATTTAACACTCACTACTAAGAGAAATTTATGAGCTAATAAAGTTAAATTTAATTGGTCGGATTGGTTTTGAAGCAAGCTGTTTTATAGCATTAGTAAAAATTAAATAAACTTATTTTTCAGTATTACGATTTATAAATTAATTTCACTGCATTTTATATCGAGCTACCCTAATTGTTTTATTATTTCTTATTGCAAAGTTGGACATATTGTATGTAGTTAAATAACTAATGCAATCACGAATACAGAACACCTTACTATAAGCAAAAAACCCCGAGTTCATAAAATATACCAAATCCAGATTATGTTGGCAACACTTGCGGGAGTTTATATCTCGACTGATGTAGATTTATGGTTGTACGTGTAAGAGCGAGAACCTTGCCAAGGCTCTTGTGTTACAAGTATCAATCATTTTAGTCATAACTTTGGAAAATGAATGAAGTCAGAAATGTTTTTTCTATGGGACTATTTTTATGCTGGAAAGAGTCGTGACGCACTTGAGCAACAAATCGTAATTTGAAATATTTTATTACTCGGACGATTTTATGTTAACGTCGTTTTCTCATAGAGTCGCCATAGAATTCCTCTAGGTTACCACCTATACAAACTAAAATATACCTAGTGAAATATACCGTCCACCGTTTGTCCTTAATTTTAACACCACTCAGGGTTTATAACTAGACATAAATTTTAACAGCCAACGCGTTATAAATATAGCTACAATGGCTTATAGCCTTTCTTCAAACAGTTAAGTGGCTCTTGTGCATTTGAAAATAAAATTACACTCTGCTATGTTTTGTTTTTGCAAATGTTTTCAAGGATAGTTTTCATCTACATGTAATCCTGAAACATTCATAAAGAAATAAAAACAATATTCTTCAAAGAGCATATAACAAATCAGGTAATATACTTGAATAAAGTTACATATAGTTTTCTGTTTGCTTGACCTAATAATTATCAAATCAGAACAAATAATTGCTGGTAGAAAGTACACGTTTTGGAACAAGTTGCATTTGAGTAATTGCAAAATGAAACTACTATGATACTATGACAAAGCTCGATTTATAGTTGAAAAACACAAGTACATTACGATGTTCTCAAACTTGTACGATTCTACCTAAACCGCCTGTTTTTGCTCTCATCAGACTCCTAATGATAATATGTTTCCAGATGCTGCAAGGAATGAATCCAGATGAAACCTCGTTCGCTTTCTTTCTCTTTCTTAGGAAATGTCTCATTTGCTTATAATGTGTTTAGTGTAAAAATGAGTTTGAGGTTCTTCTCATTCTTCTCATAGGATTTTCTCAAAATATTTATTTACGTACAAGCAATTTAGTGGGGGGGGGATTAAAACGATATTAAAATTTATTAGACTATTTTATTAGTTGACCTTTTATTTTAAAGCAACAACATGATTCTATAAAATAATTGGAAAAAATATTAATATTTTTAGGAATCTAATGTAAAATAGATTTTTCAAATGAGTGTTCTTTTTTTTATACTTATACATTAGAACAAGGAAATGAAACAACGGAGGTACATTTAGAAGAAAGTGGAACAATTTAAATCAATTAATTATTTAAGATGGGTACTCCACTATGTGCGTATTTAAACCCAAATATGAGTGAAGGATGAGTGGCGCGATCTTGTAGTCTTGTTAGTGACTAAGGCCGATATATTCCTTAGACACAGCTGTTAATTTATAGCCCATACAGCTAATGATAACTAAGGGACCTACAGTTTATAGTGAAATCCAAAAACTGCATAATAATTATTTTTGTTTCTGAGATTAATTATTTTTTAAAGTTTACTTCGCTCGAATTGGAGATATTTTATGTTTGAAATGATTAAAACTTTCACTCCTAATTTATCATTTTTATCATTTCATCATTTCACGTTGTGGTTCAAGAGACTTATTACTCTATTCTGAGATTTCCCTACAAAAATCATCCCTTCCAAGTTAATCTTAATGATATAACATAGTAGTGATATTTTTAAAATAACTCATAAAGCTATAAATGGAAGAAGTTATTCATAAGGGTCTCTTCGTAAAAAAAATTGCATTTTTACTTTCACCCCTTATTCATAGGATAAAGTATTGTTTGCTTCAGATTTATCACGTTTTAGTCGTGGGTGTGCTATCAGTTTTTGTCCCCCTGATAACCTGAACCCGAAAAGTTAAATTCAAAGTGATGTGAGAGTTTGTGTGAGTCCGAATTTCTTATTCGGAACCATAAGAAATTCAGGCTATCAGAGCTATTAGAATTTACATCAGGGTTGAAGGAATCGGAGCAATGAAACCGCACGATACTATATACATGTTAAGATCTCAAGAGATGGTGATTTAAACCACATGTTTTTGTTCTCATCGTTTCTCCTAATGATGATATGTTTGTAGATGTTCTGTCATTTGTTTATCATGTGTATCCTCTACGGAAGAAGTAAAATCGAGGGTCATTTCACAGATTTGTTTCCCACGTTTAACTTATTCTATTTACTGGATGCTAGAAGAAAACAGTATTGTTGTTTTACATGGTTCAACCTATTCGAATTTAATCCCCAACAATAACAAAATTTTCGCACTCAAGGACTGTAGGGATCGGAGCAATTCAAAAAATAAAACAGTATGGTTCAACGGCAGCAGAAATATCCCTCAAGCTCCTAGGTCAACTTACTAAAATAATTTCTTCTAAAATTTCCATAGATACTAATGTTGTCACATTAATAAAAAAAAAAACAAAAAAAAACAAATATAAAACAACTCTGCGTACAAAATTATTTTAATAAACTGAAATGATTTTCTGAGATGTTAAGAATTTAAACAATACCTACATAGTAAAATTTTGTTAATACGTGTCATCATAATAAAGTTACAAATAAGTACATAAAAATACAAGTAAAAGCCATTTATTTAAAGAGTTTTCTCTTTTAAACTTTCGGTATTATACCACCCTGAGTTTGATATATGAATGTTCATGTAATGCTTAGAACGTTGCGTTACCAAATAA